CCCCAAAACCCCAAAACCCCAAAACCCCAACGCAACTTTCCATAATAGAAACTATCCTAATTACTCAAAATATGTGATCTGAACCGTACAATCCTTCACTCCTACCACACTGGTGACCTTCTCATTAACTTCGTTACTCTTTACTCCACTCCTGACCACAACATGGACCGATCAGACCTCTTTTCCCTTCTCTACCTCCCAAAGGGCGATCCTTCTGACCTTATAAAAAGCTTCAATCTTCTTCACAATACTATCCGTTCTTTCCTGGCTGGGGTTCTTCAATAACAGGGTATTACCAGAAGACATTATCAGCGGAATTACAGAGACGAAGATTAGCACTGAAATAATCACACTGCAGATCGGATCAGCTACGTACAGACCTTTGTAGTGGATCAACAGCGAAGAGATGATCACGCCTACACTCCCGAGGGCGTCAGCCAAGATGTGAAGGAAGAAACCGTAGATGTTCTCGTTGTGCCCCTGTCCAGCTGTTTCTTGGGGCTGGACGTTATGTTCGTGGTCATGGTCGTGGCTGTGGGAGTGACCGTTATGAGAAGAGCATGTTGAATGAGAGTGGTCGTGATGGGAGTGGTCATGGTGGGAGTGGTCATGGTGGGAGTGATCGTGGTGAGAGTGGTCATGGAGAGAATGATCATGGTGAGAGTGATCATGATGGGAATTATCGTGATGGGAGTGATCGTGATGGGAATGGTCATGACTTGAGTGGCTATGCTCATTCCCATGTCCATGTGAGCAATCACCATGATCATGATGATGTAGATCATGGAAACAAGCAAGTCCTACGATATTTACCAGAAGTCCAAGTACAGACACAGTAAGAAGTCCATCTTCATTGATAAGTTGAGGCTCATAGATTCTGTCGACTGATTCTCATAAAACTTTGAATGCGATAAAAATTAAGAAAACTCCATTGAAAAATCCACTAAGAACCTCAACCCTTGACATTCCATAGCTATACCCCTCCTTCTCTTCTCCTTGTGCTAAATAAGCAGCTATGAGCCCTACCAGCAGAGCTAGTCAATCAAAGGCCATATGAAGCGCATCAGAAATCAGCCCTAAAGAATTAGTCAAATACCCATAAAGCACCTCTACAAACATGAATCCCAGATTTGCCAGGAAGAAGAGAGCTATTCTTCTGGTATACTTCTTGCTCCATATAACCTTGATGAAATCAATGAGGGTATTATCTTCCAAGCTGCTATTATCTTCATCATCGTCGATCCCACTGCCGCTCATATACTGCCGTTGTCTGTCCTTCTCACCTGTGATTTCCTCAAGATATATAACTCAATATCCCAGAATTAGGAAGGTATTTCATGCCAGAATCGGCAAAGATATCGCAGCTGAAAAGATAGCTATCTTCACAAAATAATCTACAATTGCAAATATTATCTTATAGAAAAAGTGCTTGAACAACTGATCTAAACTCTTTGCTATTGTGACGTTGACAGTTGAGGCACTGACCCCGATAAGGATGATACAGAATATCTTCTTGGTCAAGGATGGGTCCACAACTTCTTTGCTAGCAATGTGCTCAATTTCAAGGATTTGCTTGATCACAAATCCAAAAAGACATAGGGAGAAACTTAAAATTCATCTGTAGAACACCAGAATTGTCTTGGAGTCTCTCACTTCGGTTTTGAGGGCATAGCTGTTTGATTGCTTTTTCGTCATATCAAATGCCTTTGAATGCATCATCTGGGATAAAATTGACAAGAAGGCAATCAAAATTGCCAAAACTCCCTTCAGCTTAGTAAATATGCACAAAAGAATAGCTGTCCCAAAGATGATTAAGATCCCTGAGGATCTGAGTGAGTTAAAATTAAATATTTTGAATTTCTTGACAATAGAGTAACCGAAAGCTAGCTCTAAATTTACCAGCAAGAACCATGCAGTTGTGTTCTCAAGTATGATCGGAGAGATACACAACAAGAGACCTCTGAAACTGTCGACCAAGGCTAAAGGAATCAAGTCCAGTCTTGGCTCAAGCTTAATTCTCTGGAATAATCTCTTCATACTCAGAGGATTTGGACTCTCAGAGTCCTTGTCATTATGCAAGTACTGAGGTAGGATGAGGTACAAGACTCACATCCAAATTGTCAACAAGAAGTACATCGTTGTCCATGAAAACACATGAGAGAATGCCACAAACATAAAAATATACAATTGCAGGGCACCCTTCAGAGACTTGTCCATGTTTAAATTTATTATACAGCGTGTTGTTGGGGTTTTGGGGTTTTGGGGTTTTGGGGTTTTGGGG